GGAACACAATTGATCTCGCTACTTTTCATAAGTCAGAAAGTATCCTGGATGGCCTGGTATTGATTTTTTGAATGGCTGTGATAAAACAACTCCTTAATGTGAATTTCCAAGGGAGAACACTGCTTAGTCTATAAAGATACCACCCAGCCTCAAAACACAGTAAGAAAACACAAATACACATGGCAGTTTGCTGGAAACTAAGCTATAAGTTAATCAATAACTCTTGAAGATATGTTAGTCTACTTAAAAAATATCATTAAGTTCAGAAGAGATAATAATATGGACTGAATCTACCATCCTATTGATTTTCTTTTACTAACAGCATTGTTTGATTCACATTTGAAATAGTTAATACCAGTTTCAGCAATACTAGGGGGAATATGACTCATTTTGGCAGAAAAACAATTAGAAAATCAACAAAGTGATACAAGGTTAAGCTCCATTAACTTTTTAAAAATGTGTCTTTGAAAGGTCCTGGGCTATGATTTTTCCCTGATGCTATTTTGTTGACCTCTGATATTGAAGAGCCCTGTTTGTTTTATATTTTCGTGGTAGCTGCAGAGAGCTAAATCTTGATTATGTTCCATTACAGAAATACACGGCACTCCTGACTATTATAGGTATTCTCGCCTTTGTTATTTAAGAGGTAGGGTCATCATCATCATCATCATTATCATCATCATCATCATGTTCATTATTACAAACAGTATGAGATAGGTCCATCATCATTATTATAAATAGTAACAGAATTTAAGTGCAGGCAGACAAGACTCTCATCTTGCTTTGTTCTGGTGAAATAATGTAGCTGCAACTAACCTTTCCTGGCCTGTTGGGTGTGTGTTCACATCATGGTAAGGTGCTGCCTTAGGAGATGAGAAGGAAACACAGGGAACAAAAGGTAAAGGACTAGAAACAGAAGGGGGAAGAGAATGACCCTCTCAAAGGATGTTGGCAACCCAGCTGTTCCACCATTAGAGTAAATTGTCTTCCTCTTGGGGGATTGTCTTGGCAGGTGGAAGAACCATCCTGAATACCCATTTTCTGATGAATACTGAACACGGACAGTTCTTCAAAACAGTTTTTTTCCCTTCATTCAGGATCTTGAGCTGGGTAATCTTCCTCTCCAAATATGGAAATAAATGGGGTCTGGCTATCCTCAGATGAAGCTGAATAAAACACACCATGCTTAACTTTTGTGTAGTATGAACTCAAAAAGGCTCTGATGAAGAAGAAAAAAAGATTTAAATCTGCCTGAATAGTTCTTTGAAAATGCTTTTCTAATATTTTTAGATCAATGTCTTCTAGGTTTTGATGGAGAACATTAAACTTTACTCCAAAAGTGGCATATAAGAGCAAAGTCTGACTCATGAATATGAAACTATCATAGGAAGTCTGCATTGCTTAGCCTTTAGCAGGACAACAAAGAAGTTTGAATCTGGCATGATTCCAGGTGCTGACCATGATCTTGACCTTGTTTGGGTTATTGGTTACAAGATGACACACCCAAGATAGAAATCCACATGCAAATAATGATTAATGCACCTTGAGTAGAGAGAGAACCAGAAGTCTAGAAAAGTCTTAAAGAAAAAACATATAGCAGGTTGGGCGAGGGCTGTTGGGCTCTACTGGAGTGCTTACCTGGCATGTTGGAGACCCCGGTGAGGGCAGGAATGGGAATGATCAGCAAAGCCATAATGATTTTGTTTTCTCCTTTGTTCCCACCTAGTATGCCCAATCAGCTTTTCCTATGCTTGAAGGATAGAAAGTACTGATTCTTTCTTAAATTCTTTCTAGCTCAGGGTTATGGAGAGTTGAGACTAGGTTCCATGTAGTCCAAGTTGCCCACAGACATGCTGTGCATCCAATACTGGACTTTAATTCTGAACCCCTGGTCTCTATTACATTTTTAAGGGCCTGAGCCACCACATGACTGGAAAGGCATACTGTACTCTAAATCATTCTTGCCCATACTCATCAAGAAAATCATTATGTAAGGTGGCTAGAAACAACCAACAGATACAAATCGAGCTTTTTGTCATTAAATGGCCTAGAGATGGTGATTTTAAATGAATGAAGTTTTAAAGGAGGAGTTGAGAAATATTAGAAGATACGGTTTTTAAAAACTACTTTTACAAGGGCTTAAGAATATATTGGGGTAGCTCTCTGAATTTTGATGAAGTTGCAAGTTCTAAAAGAACATGAATAATTTTATTATATGTAAATTTTTGAGAAGCAAATTAAATAATTACAACTGTACCTATTTTTAATTTAACTAGAAAAATATAACATATTTGTTTATATTAGATCACTTTCAATGGGTAGAATTCTTCAAATATCATATTCTTCCAATAACAATAGATAAAATTAAATTGCCCAAAGAAAAACATTTTTGACAAATTATGAGTTAAAAATGTGATTTCATGAACCACTTTTTTCAATGTTAATGTCAACAATGCTGTTCTGTGGAAAATATTTTATCTACAATAATTAATAAAGTATGATGATTTGCTCTACTACATGATCTCTGTTCTGTTTCTAAGGTTGGAGGAATCATCTTCATCCAAGTAAACTGAAAAGGGCCTGAGGTTGAGTTTTTACTGTGCCTAAGTGGCTAATCAGACCAAGACTCAAAGCTTGGGTGGATTTTCCTGGTTGGCAGTACTATAGATAAATTGTCATACATGATTACAAGGGGCAATTAAGCAATATCTGTGAAATTTTACTGGAAAAAAACAATAGAAGCCTACACCTGTCAAACTGTCAGATTCCATTCCCTTTCCAAAGTCTTGTAGGCATATAATAATGCAAAAAAAGTGCATTCAGTCCAACTTCGAAAGTCCCCTGTAGTCTCATTTAATAGTCTCAAACTTACTTAAAAGTCTAAAATTCAGTCTCTTCTGAGATTCATGTGATGATCTCGTAACTGTAATCCACTGTAAAATCAAAATCAAAAAGCAGATTATGTACTTCCAGCACATAAAGGCACAGGATATACATTAACATTCCAAAACACAGGGAAGGGAGTATAGTGAGGAAACACTGGACCAAAGCAAAACTGAAAACCAGTTGGCAAACTCCAGACTCTGCATCTCCATGTCTGACACTCTTCAGATCTCCAGCTCCTTTCAACTTTGTTGACAGCAACACACTGCTTTCTCTTGGGTTGGTTCCACTCCCTGTTAGCAGCTTTCCTTGGCAGATGTCCCACAGCTCTGGCATCTGCAGCATCTTGGGGTCTCCAAGAAATCTAAACTTCAACTTCACAGCTTTATACAATGGCCTCTCTAGGCCTTCATTGAGGGATGCCTGTAATGGTCTGCTTTGTTCCTTTAAGAGACAAGCTACGCCCACTTCCCTCCCCTGTCTGCCGAGGCAAGCAGATCTTCAGCTTCCAACCTGAGTCCTTCTTTTCCATCTCTCTCTCGAAGAGGCAGTTTTTGGTATCTTCCTTCTTCCCACTTCTCCCCTTCCCCCTTCTCTCTCTCTCTCTCTCTCTCTCTCTCTCTCTCTCTCTCTCTCTCTCTCTCTCTCTGCTTTTCTCCCCTTTCTCTTCCGTAATCCACTAAATAAATATCCAACCTCACTCTGCATGGTGTGCCTATCCATGACTCTGTCTCTCACCTGCCCATGGTTCCTTTCCCAGGACCAGTCATCTTCGGAGACCTGCAGCATGGTCTCATGGCATGACCATCCATCTCTCCTTGTGGGACTGTCTGCCCAGTCAAGGTCTCTCACCCACCACGCAGCTCCCTGCCTAGAACTCATGGCCTGCTGCAGCCATCCCTGCCTGGGACTGACTGTTCTCTGGACCCACTGCCTGCTGACTGCCACCACTTTGGGAACATACAGTGTGGTCTTGGGACCCACTACCCACTGCCTGTCACCACCTGCCACTGCTCAGGGACCTGCAGCATTTGTGCTGCTGTGCCCCTCAGGGAACCTGCAGCATTTTTACTTAAACTATTACAATACTCCTGAGACATGCCTGACTTAGTGGCTTTCCTTAGTTGAGGAGGCAGGTTCCATAGCCCCTTTCTTCTATCCTTATTGGACCTGTCTCCTTAAAAGACCACACTTACTTCAAAAAGGCCACACCTCCTAATAGTGCCATTCCATTTAGGGGTGATTTTCTTTCAAACCATCATACCTTACAGGACCTTGAGATCAAGAGATGAGCATTTTTAAGACTGAGGAAATGGCTCAGTTAGTAAAGTGCTTGTCAGGTAAGCATGAGGACTGGAATTCAATTTCCATTACCACAGCACTATGAACCTGCAGAACAAATCCTGCTAATGGGGAAGCAAAACCAAGTGAATCCCTAGGGCTGGTGGCCAGCCACTAATCTAGCTGAATTATTAAGTTCCAGATTCAGTGAGAGATCCTGCCTCAAAATTGAGGTGGAGGACTGGGGAATAGGAATGGTACTTCACAATGACCTCTGACCTCCGACAAATACAAATATAAGCATGCACATACAAAGATACATATTCACAAAAAATAAATAAGTAAAGTAATAATAATAAATGTAAAAACATGTTATGGATGTTTGCCTCAGAATTTTGTCTCTGTGTATTGAGAGTCTGTATATTTCCTTTTTCGTCAAAGACCAATTTTGCAAATTCATGTTTTTCTCACAATATACTACTATTTTATGGTATAGGAAATGTGTATTTGCTAATTTATGCAACGCATATGTTTTGTGTGCTTGGCTGGCTCCTTGGGCTGCCTCACTGAACACAACAAAGATCTGACTTCAGCACTTCCATTGTTACTCCTTAATGGCTGCTAATTTTCCTACCCCATAGCCTTTTTTCCCTTCTATTCTTAATCTTACAGTTTGCTATCAATTGATTTGCAGTTAATCAAGTTCTTTGTTCCTTCTTGTTTTCTTTCTGGGTTTCACCTAGAATAAATTTACAAAGAAGAAGAAGAAGAAGAAGAAGAAGAAGAAGAAGAAGAAGAAGAAGAAGAAGAAGAAGAAGAAGAAGAAGAAGAAGAAGAAGAAGAAGAAAAGAAAAATATATAACCTGTTCTGCATTTCCATTCATTCCTACTTAATTTTCTTATTCTCATATTTTCCCTGTTTTTCTTTGCTTATCAACACTATCCTCACTTCTTAGGTTAAGTACCCCTTTGACCAATGTTTTTAGTTTGGTTTTCTTTCTTGCTTAGTGATATAGACACTGCACACAGTGAATTTTTCTAAGTACTGTTGTGATTAAGATTTTACAAATGCAGTGTTTAGTTTTCTTTCTAGGCATTTCCCTAACTCCTATTTTAATTAATTTTTGATTAATAAATGTTTATTGATGGCTAGGGAGATGGCTCACAGGCTGGGAGCACTTATTGCTCTTCCAGATCACACCCACATCAGATAGCTCACGACTACCTGTAACTCCCATTCTTGTAGATCCAGTGCCCTCTTCCAGCTTCCTCAGGCATATCTACACAAATGGCATAAACTTACACAGACATATACACACATACACATAATAAAAATAAATAAAGTAGTAAATATTTAATAGCTATTTGCAAGCCATTTTATTTTAATTTCCAATATGAAAGTTTTATCTTCCTGAGTTCATAGTCATGCTGAGTTCAGATAACAACATGGATTAGTCTTCTTAATGTGAGATCGGGACAATTTGAAGTATGTCCTAAAGTCTTGAGCTGGATATAGTGGACGTATTGTCATGTGTTATCGGTTTTTACCTCTGAGACTGGAGAAGCCACACTGAGCGATTTAATTCCTTTACTACTCTGGTTTTAACTAGCAGCAGTTGTTTCCCAGCCTCCTCCAGAAGACATTTGGCAGTGTCTGTGACTGCTTGTCACAACTGGGGCTGGGGCCACATATAAATGGAATGAGGAGGCAGAGGCAAAAGTATTGCTAAATACCTTCCAGTTATCAGTTCTTACAACAATTACCCAGCCCCAAATGCCAGTCAGGCAGAGGCTGTAACGCTTTGCTAACACAAGCTCTTAATGGATGTTAAAATGCACTCATTGCCGTGCCGTGGTTTCAGCTAATTGTGTGTAAGTGAACGTCGGTCCACTGAGGCTCATTGCCACCGTGCTTAATGTAAACATCCCACCCTTCTGGAAGAGAATAATATCAGTGTATAGCACAAAGGAACACACAAAGTGAAAGGAAGACAATTCCTTTTCTGCAAAAAAGGTGTGCTATGACCTAAATCTGGCTATTGAGTAGCACACTCAACCTATATAGTCTTTTTTTTTTAATCACTGATGTAGGAGGTGACTTCATCTCATCCCTTTGATGGGAGCACAATTTCACATCTGAGGGGATTGGTTAATCAGGTCACAGGGGATAGAGGAAGTTCAAGAAAAATGAGCACTTGTCAGACTAAACAACTTTGACAAAAGAAACAAGCAAACAAACAAAAGAAAACTAACATCCCTTATTGTTCATCCATGCCTCTTCGTGCCTTCTATCTTTTCTCAGGTTATTAAACTAATGGTGGGTGTGGTGGTTTGAATAGCTACAGTTCCCATAGACTCCTGTGTTTGAGTGCTGGCCCTTAGGGAGTGGGGCTTCTCTGAGGCACAGCTTTGTTGGAGTGGGTGTGGTCTTGTCGGAGGGAGTGTGTCACTGTGCAGGTGGGTTTTGAGGTCTCATATACGCTGAAGCCATGCATGCCCAGTGTGATAGACAGTTGCTTCTGCTGCCTGCAGATCAAGATGTAGAACTCTCAGCTCCTTCTCCAGCACCATGTCCACCTGCATGCCACCATGAAGACAGTGAACTAAACTTCTGAAACTGTAAGCCAGCCCTGCCCAATTAAATGTTTTCCTTTGTAAGAGTTGCTATGGTTGTGGTGTCTCTTCACAGCAACAGAAACTCTTAACTAAGACAATGGGTTTCACACATTAGAATTTGAGTTTAGAGCAAATGGATAAATAAATCCCAATAAAAATGGTAAATGCAAGAAGAAAAAATTATAAAGTGTTTCCTTAGCACATTAAGAGCAAATTACTGTGGTGACTAGCAGGGTGATATCAAAAGATGGGGACAGGGAGGACATTTAGATGAACATCTACTCCCCTCACCCCCACACACAGATTCCTTGGAATAACTATGCAAATTAAGAAAGTCAAATCTATGTCACCTCTTGAATTGAAAAAAGGAGGGCTGCCATTCGGAACTTCAAGGACTAAAAGAAGGAACTGAATTGGCAAAGAAATGAAAGAAAACTGTAATCTAAAATGCACACAGGAATCACTGCTACAAATATAAGGGCACGATTAGACATGCTCCTGCCTTAAGGTCAACTATAAGCACTGTTAGGGAGCTGGATTGTAGGATTGGTTGGTTGCCTAGCATGCATAAAGCCCCAGGTTGGATCTCAGAACTGCATAGAACAAGACATGATTGTGAGCATTCAGGCACCTGTACTGGTCTGATCTTGGGGTTCTGACAGGATACATCCTCAGCTGCAGCCACTAAAGGCATCTGCTGTGCACATTCACTACATTCCCTTTTAAAAGGACCCTGCCCACCTCCCATATCTCTCTCTCTCTCTCTCTCTCTCTCTCTCTCTCTCTCTCTCTCTCTCCCTCTCTTTCTCTCTCTCTCCCCTTCCCTTGTCTTCTGCTCTTCCTGTATCCAGAGGCTGGTCTCCCTTCTCCTCTCCCTTCTCTTTCCTATTCACTTCCCCCCATTAAAAAAAAAAAAAAAAAAAAAAAACCTCTCTACCTGAGCTCTGTTGCATGGTGTCTTTCTCTCCCCTGCCACTTTTCTAAAATTATAACAATGATCACACACAACTATAATCTGAGCACTTGGGAGGTAGAGGCAGGAGGATCAGGAAGGTTGCTTTTAGCTATAAACTGAGTTTTAAACTAGTCGGTGCTACATGAGACAATGTCCTGAAAGCAAGAGAAGGGGAAGGCATTGCTGGAGAACAGATAATTTATTAAAGAGCTGTATTCAAAACCATTTGTTCCACCACACACACACACACACACACACACACACACAGCTCTGAGGGGTACTGGTATTCATTTGTTTTGTTCTGCAGGGTAAAAATTCCTCCCTTCTAATCAATGAGAATACTCCATCTGGGAGCTGAAGAGATGACTCAGTGGTTAAGGTCACTGGTTGCTCTTTCAGAAGACTGGGTTCAATTTCCAACATCCACATGGCAGCTCACACCAATATACCTAAAATACAAGTAAGAGAATAGAATACCTGGAGAAAAAAAGTACTAAATCTGATAGACAAACAAAACACTGGGGTAAATTTAAAGAACCACTAGATAGGGATTGGAGAGATAGCTCAGGGGTTAAGAACACTGGCTGCTCTTCCAAAGGTCCTGAGTTCAATTACCAGCAGCCACATGGTGGCTCACAATCATTTCTAATGAGATCTGGTGCCCTTTTCTGGCATGCATACAGAATACTATGCACATAATAAATAAACCTTAAAAAAAAGAATCACAGGACAGAAGGAGAAAAACAACAACAAAGGGAAGCTGATTGCAGTGTTCCCTGCAAGCATGCAATTACAGAGGGAAAGAAAGGGAGGCAATGACCATAGCCAGAAACAAGGAGATCTATCACTAAAGAGGTCTGTGGAGCTACAAAAGAACCAGTCCATTATGACTTCGTCTTGCATAAGCATTATTATCCTCCTAACATTGGCCTGAGGAAAGCAAAGAAACCAGTGACAGAACAAGCAAACACAGGAAAGGGTTTATATTACAATCCTAACAAGATGACTATTGGTGTAAATTAAAATGTTTTAATACTCGGGAATCAGATATTGTTGTCTTTTCCATGATTTTATCAGTGAAACACCAATGTTGCTTTAACTATTCTGTAACAATTCCACAGCAAATTAGAGAGTCCTTGTTTCCAACAAGGAGTAAAAAAGAGAGCTAGAAAAACAGCACCGAAGAACTCTGATAACCAACATAGTCCTAAGCCAAAGGAGTAATGCTGGGAAGCAGAGAGGTCCTAGGGAGGCGGCTGGGGTCTAAAGTGCTTGCTGTGCAAGCATGAGGACCTGAGTTCAGATCCCCATCCCCCATGTAAAAATGCCAGTGCTGGAGAGGTGGAAGAGGCCAATCTCTGGAGCTCACAGGCCAGTCTGCTGACCTGAACCTGTGAACTCCATGTGTAGAGACTTTGTCTTAGAAAATAGAGAACTACTAGGGAGGATGAAGATGGATGCTAAAAAGAAATTCCACACTAGCTCAGAACTGAGTATAATAAAGGGTTATTTATTTAGGGGTAGGTACGCTCACAGATCACAGTTCTCTGCTCAAACTGGGAACAGCAACCAAATCCAGCATCGGGAAGAGAGAGAGAGGAAGCACATGCTTTACATCAGTATTTACAGTATGAGGCCACACCCAAGTGGGCGGGCAACTTCAAGGCTACCTACTGAAGGATTTCCTACAGCACCTCCCCCTTTTGTTTAAATAAGAGAGTTCTAAGCCTAATACAAAGTTATATACAATAAGAACAAATATCAAGTATAAAAATTAGAATTACAACCAGCATAAACAGTATCAAGCAAGAAACATGGGATAAATGTTTCAATAATTATCCTATCCTAAGGAGTCTAAATCTTGTATTATAAATAACTTGGCTAAGTCATGAGAGGAAAGTAACTACAACTATCTAGTCTTCAACCCCATCGAAGACCCAAGAAGGGAAATAATATTACTTGAGTGAGCGGGAAGTACAATCAAAGAACTTCCAAAATGTGCAACAAATGACAGAGACAACTGGCTACCTGGACAAACACCCAAAGTCCTATTTGCAACATTGGAGCAACCAACTTTAGCTAAGGCCTAGAGTAATGGACAGAACGTTTTCAGAGGCAAGAATTTTTCAAAACTGTCTTACTCTGTCTTGGAAAGATTTGACAGTCTTTTTTCTTGTATCCTGCTTGTATAGTCTGGATACCATGCATTTTGTCAGTGGTCAAGGCATGGGCAGTTCCTTGCCCAAAGGCCAGTTTTGCCAAGAAGATAATAAACCCCAAGTGGAGTGTCTTCAGTGCTCAACATTCTCTCAGGAATAGATTGGTTGCCAGGAGCAATTGTGTCTCACATAAACAGAACCCTAAATTATTAAATGCCATATTCTATAGCTCTTTGAAGTGGTTGAAGATTACCTATCTATGTATAATACAATCTCGATCTGAAGAACCTGATTAGTCTAACTATAAGTATAACAAAAATGGATGACTATTGACCTATAATTCTTAATACCTATATAGGTTAAAGACTAAGACTTCATATTATAATATTAAACAATCTTTAAACAACTGTGCAACAAATGAGAACAATAAAACAATGTATAATTATCTTGTTCAGAGTTTGAAATGTGTAATGCAATATAATAAATATATCCTAAAATTGCATCAATATACAAAATGTCTTAAGCAGAGGTAGAAGCATGCAAGCATATAATATGATGAAATAACTTTGCCTAGGTGTACAAATATTGTAGGAACATATTCAATATAATTTGAATTTGTATCAATATACAAGAATCTATATCAATGTAAATTGCCTATAAATAATAGCTCACAAGTATTTACTCTATTACTCACTATTATTATTATTATTGTAAATTCACAGTAATCTATCATCCCATCCAATTTCCCTCTTATTTTTTTTTAAAAAAGTGATCCCTGAGACTACATAATTTCCACTCCAACCCACAATGCTATATCAATTATAATGAACCCCTAATTAATGTCCCTAACCCTGAGGACAAACTTTGTTGCGAGAGGGACGTCATCTTCTAGAATTACTTTCAGCTCTCATGGGAGTGATGTTCTTCCTATAGGATCCTGTGAAACTAAAAAATGACATGAGACAGAAACCCTGAATTTTTCTTTTAATGACATGCTTGGATTTAAAGAAGGACAGAGCTATTGTCCAACTCCAAAGGCAGCTTTGATTTTTAAGTGAGTCATGACTATTATTCTGGTTTATGTTCAGAGATTCTTACCCTCAGATGACCTATCCTCATAAGTCATAATTCTCTTTGCTTGGTGATCCTATCTGGATAATTATCTTTTCCTCTTTAGGCATCCTGATGTCCAGGGTCTCTTGACTTTTTGAATGAGTACTTTCTTGCAAAGACAAGAACAGAACCCTGCCCCAACCCTTATGAGGTTTCCTTACCACCTGTATGGTTGTTACCTCTGTGGATCAGCTGTCATTTCTCTTTCTTGAGAGATTTCTATTTTTCAAACCAAATCTTTATTAATTTTGATAGTATCCATAACGTTTCTTCTCCTGTGAAAACAAGAGTAACCCTTTTCCCAGTGTAGCACATCTCCTGGTTTCCATTGTGAGGTCAACACATCCTTGAAATATACCAGCCGATTTAATTCAGATGTTTTTTCTATTATCCACTGTCTCTCTGCTGCTGTTGTTCCTTTCTCATTAGTGTTAAGACAATTCAAGATTAATGAAGCATTATGCAATCTATTTCTGGGGATATTTTTCATCCCTTTCTGTTTGTTTAACATATCCTTCATAGTTTAATTTGATCTTTCTATAACTGCCTGACCTGTAGGATTGTTTGGTATACCTGTAATATGTTTTATATTATAATAAGCAAAAAACTGTTTCATTCTCTTAGAAACGTATGCTATACCATTATCTGTGTTTTTTTTTTTTTTTTTTTTTTTTTTTGTACAGGTATACTCACAATGGCCCACAGGAAGATACCTGATGTCAAAGTCTGGCCTACATACACATACAAACACATACACGTGCACATGTGCCTATGTATTCTTACACACACACACACCTGCACGTACATACACACAC